TTTCTTTTCTACATGACTTGACTTATTGGTTAAGGTTAGCCAGCGTGATCGCCGCCACAGTATGGCGGTGAACCTCAGCGGACAGGCGGCACACGGCCCCCAGATGGCGTCAAGGACTCTTTGAAGAGTCGCAAACAACACAAGCACCCGTGCGTGATTCGCTGACGAAGTTTTCTGACAGGGCTATCGGCGGCAGCGAAATCGACCTGTCAAAGCAGTGGCCCATAATTCAGGCGACACTCGCAAACAAGCGCCCTGAAAAGCGCATAATACGACTGCGACTGCCCACCGCCCCTGCTGAAATCGCCCCTCGCCCCGTACGTCTTGTTTTGTTCGACTGTGCGTCGACGACCAGCCACCGGTCACACCGCAGTCGAACGCCCCGTCGATCCTCCTCCAAGACGAGTTTGAGTCATGTCTAAATCGAGTGACAAACTCAACTGCCATATCGAACACTGAGTTCTGCCAGTTATTAAATCGATGATAATATCACTGGTGTCCGCCTTGACGATGTGTAGAATGATGTATTGCGAGAGATCAATTGGAGCCTCAATGACGGTTTCAAATCCTTTGGGGATGTCTTAAATTTGCCAGAAGTTCTAGTGCGTCAGCAACAGTCATCACATCAATACTCATAAAAAAAAACTGTTGCGGCACTCAATGTGAGCTTTAACTGTATACCCACTTACGGTACTTCCCAGCAGCATTTGGATCAGCACTGTAAATTGATGATTGACACCAAGATTGACCTATGGGGAACATATCCCATTAACAATAAGGTCGATCACACGATTTTTTCTTAACTTTGGAAACAATCGTTTTTCGCGTTAAAAAGACAGACAATATGCTGAAAGGATCATTCCGTTTTTTTTAAACTTAAGTCCCCTGTTTCGTTCAGAGGGAACTTCGTTTTTTCCGGCAAGACCATCAGTCCGTAGGCATTTGCTTATTTGACCACTACGAGGTTGATTTAAAAACTCACATCTCATATCCTGACGATTAAAAGATGACTTTCTAAGGCAAGCGGTCAGTGAATAAGTACAGTGGTCGATTGCCAATTTTAAGTGCAATTTGGTGATTCATCTCAAATCGAATACATTACCATTGTGCTGCTCAAAGTCACTCCTTGAACTCGTCAGTCACCGGCTCAAATTACGATTCCGCTCAAACTATTTTAAGGCTTAACCTGTATGTTTGTTAATTAATATGAATAATAATGAACATCATAAAAATTGCTTAAAGACGCGGTAAAGAATCTCAAATTAATTTTGTGAAATGACACGAATTATACAGTTAAACCTTTAATAACATCATACACTACAGCCATTTTAAATCTGTTTGTAAAACTGACGAGACCAATCGTTTACCTTGCTAAATTCTACGTTATCATAAAGACGTTAGTGAAAAGTTACAAGGGCTACTTAACACTAAATATAATAATGTTATGAATAAAATCTCTATGACTCAATACGCTGTTGAACAGGTATTATAACTCTATATGCTGGGTTCATTAAATACAACGTTACGGCGCCAAACATTACATAGGTTAAACAGGGAATACCGTTACACAGGGAACAAAGGCACACCTGTCAAGCTGGAGAAAATGATGATCGCGGACGAGCGTGAACGACACGTGGTAACAGAGCGTCAGGGAAAAAACAAAGCCTCGCTTCCAGCAAAGTCAAAGAACTCTGCGGCAAGACCTCCGGGCATTCGGCCAAGCAACGATATTCCCCCGGAGACTCTGAGGGGGATCTAGGAAAGTTAACCGACTGCAGGTGTTCCAGAGGAGCATTTTTGGTGAGTAAATCTTCAGCAGTTCCCTTGGAGCACTAACCTTCGTCAACTATTGCCAAGGTCTCTGTAACCTTATACCAACGAATTTAAGGAAGTGAGTCACTGTTTGAGGTTCTGGCCACGGACACAACTTTGGCAAGTGTGGTGTGTGTGTGGGGGGGG